ATCTAAAACAGGTAGTATTTTCTTTTCCCGGCTTGTTATAAAAACGAACCTTTCTGTCTAGGTAAGATTTGATTTTTTCAATTTTATTCTTGTTCCGAGTATAAATATGAGTTAATGCGCTTTGAAACCTCATAACATCTTCAAGGCTCGCCGGAGATAGTTCAGTTCATAAGTCTAATTTCAAAACCGTGATTTATTAAAAAAAATAAAATGAGTAAAAGGACGCGAGAATTTGAGTGTAGATAATAAGGATCCAGATATGTTCTGTTTCATGTGTGGCCAATATACTATCATAAGGCGACGACGAGTGTTCTCAGATCATATCAAAACTTTATACTCCAAGTATTTTGGAATTGAGCCTAAAAATGCTGAAAAACCATGGACACCGAACACTTTGTGTACATCGTGTCGAGTAGAATTGATTCAGTGGGAATCAGGACAACAAACAAAATTTGATACACCAATGATATGGAGAGAACCTACTTGCCATTCAATAGAGTGTTATATTTGTCAAACAAAAGTACTTGGCGTTGGAAGATCAAGAGGAGTAACCTATGCTAGCGTACCTACAGTGACATTACCAGTACTACCTTCAACGGCAGTTGCGGATCCAGTTCCATTGTCAACAGTAACATCTGAGTGCGGGGGATCAAGTTGTACTGAATTTCGCATGGAAAACGAAAGAAACGTTCTGTCACAAGCACAACTTAATGATTGGATAAGAGATTTGGAACTATCCAAGGAAAAGGCCGAGATCCACACTTCTCGTATGCAACAATTTAAATTTGTGTCATCCGATGTTAAGGTGACATATAGTAGAACTCGTCACGAACCATTTTCCAAACACTATACCAAGAAAGACAGTATATGCTACTGCAACGACATCCCTGGTTTATTCAAAGAGTTTGGTCAAACATATGATTCAAAAGAGTGGCGATTGTTCATAGACGGCAATAAACTGAGTTTGAAGGCTGTATTATTGCATATTGGTAACAAAAAGCCTTCTATCCCGATTGCACATGCAGTAAATACAAAGGAAACCTACGAGGAAATGCAAAAAATACTCAAATTTATCAAATATGAAGAGCATGATTGGAAAATATGTTCTGATCTCAAAGTCGTTGCAATGCTATGCGGTCTACAAAGTGGCTACACCAAGCACTGCTGCTTCCTCTGCAAGTGGGATAGCCGAGCTCGTAAGGACCACTATGTCAGAAAGGATTGGCCAGAAAGAGTCGAGTTTACCGTTGGTGTGGATAACATCAAATACACCCCTCTTATCAAGAAAGAGAAAATCATACTTCCACCCTTACACATCAAGCTCGGTCTCATTAAAAACTTTGTTAAGGCTTTGGACAAAGAAGGCGAAGCATTCGACTATTTGAAAACAGTTTTTTCCAGATATTTCTCAAGCCAAGATAAAGGAAGGTATTTTTGTTGGACCACAAATAAGAAAGTTGATCAACAATAATCAATTCAAAGGACTACTCTCATCAGTTGAGGCAGCAGCGTGGGAATCCTTTGAAAAGGTCGTTGCTTCTTTTCTCGGTAGACACAAAAGCCCTTACTACGAGCAGATAGTGAACGACCTAATCAATAATTATGCGAAAATGGGCGTAAATATGTCTTTAAAAATTCACTTTCTCCACTCACATTTGAGCTTTTTTCCGGCAAATCTTGGCGACGAAAGTGATGAACATGGCGAAAGGTTTCATCCGCAAATGAAATTAATTGAGAATCGATATCAAGAATTCTGGGACGTCGCAATGATGGGTGATTACTGCTGGTTTCTCATAAGAGAAACCGATCCTAAACTGAATAAGCGTCAAAGTAGAACACATAATTATTTCGACAACATAGTAAAATCAAATTAAGATAAGGATTGTTAGAATATAGTGTAAACATAAATAAATTTAAAAAAAAAGTTAAAAATATGGGTAATTTCATTCATAAATTGAACTTTTAACTCAATAGAAACAGAGCATAGCTAGATATTTCACTCTTCTTTATACCATACATACGTTTTGAGGTATACGTTGAAATTGCGCAACCTGGGTATTTTTATTTGATCGCTTATAACTTACGTAGTTTTGCATCGATTTTTTTCGATGACACCTTATTTTTTTTGTAATATAACAGAGCTTAGGGAGAAAAAAAAAATCTGCAAAAAAATAAAAGGTTTTTGAGATCCTTCCCCGCAAAGTACAATTTTTTTTATATTTTTACAAAAAAAATTGAAAAAATCGGGAATGATTGTTCGTTATCTTTGAATCTACAGGGCCTAGCAAAAAGTGTTGTATGCACAGCTTATAGAAAATTTTATTACCTTTTAAAAGCTTCAAACCGTTTTGGAATTGCTTAATTCGTTCTTGAGATATATATGAT